GACATATTTTGCCGTCAGCTGAGAGGAGACGAGGGATTCCGGTCCTGGTGAATTTTTAAGAGTTATAAATTATGTTGTTTTAGTAAGTTTGAATTAATGGATTGGTGAGTTTAGAAGATATCTTGGAAATAATGAATTAATGCTTGGCTGTCAGATTTTGGTTGCTGTATTTGGGTTAATGATGGATGATGAGGAAAAATTCCGAACCGTATGCCACTGAAATTGCTGTGATGCCGGTGATGCAATGAAAGTTTTTCTTTTTTCTTTTATTGGATTTTCCTTTTCCTGAGGTACTTTATAGTAAAAGAAAAAACTAAAGAGGACCGATGCTGAGGTTAATAAACGAGAAAGGGATATGGCGAAAAGCCCCCTGCCCCGCCCTCTCTCTCTCTCTCTCTCTCTCTCTCTCTCTCTCTCTCTCTCTCTCTCTCTCTCTCTCTCTCTCTCTCTCTCTCTCTCTCTCTCTCTCTCTCTCTCTCTCTCTCTCTCTCTCTCTCTCTCTCTCTCTCTCTCTCTCTCTCTCTCTCTCTCTTCCCCCATACAACAGTGATAAGCGATATACAATAAGGTAACGACATAAATACGATTGTGCAAAATTTGGTGACAAAACTTTCAGTAAAATGTACATACACAGTTTAATGCAAACATTCAGACTGATTAACCAAAAATAAGTTACAGAATTCATGCATTCCCTTCTTAACACAAGGATCCGCATCAGACACATTAACTGAAAAGCGACTGGGAGTGACTCATTGACATAAAAAGATCATATGAATTTCCTCAATGATTATATTATTGATTCCTTAACCATTTATATGAAACCTTACTAAAATCACGAGAATCTTAGTTATCAAATCCAACACGGAAGCGACTTGACCTGACATGACCTAGTGACATGTAAAATTTTGACAGAGTTGGTGCCAATTTAGGCAAGTAAGTTAGTTCTAAATGCCCTCACGAAAATATGGGTAACATACAGATTCTGAATGAATTACTTAGGGGAACCGGTAACGAAATAACTGATGAAATAATTTATGTGTACATGATTTCCTGTACGTAGGCTTATATGTATTTTTCTTGGACCTATGCGAAACTTGATCTTTTTACTATTGTGAATATTACAGCATTAATCAACATCAAATGCTCGAAAAAGGCTTCTGACATGCTAAAAATAATTACAGTGTGTGTGAGGGAGAGAGCGTGCTTGTAGGTAAATAAGCATGTATGTATATCTAGGCGAAAGTGGTTAAAACTATTACTGCGTACATGACACATAAGTAACTGGAAGCACTCACGCATACCTCCGCCAAAACAATAGGGTCACTGATGCAACAAAAAATCATTCACACTTGAAGAATTCTATCAGAATCACCTCTTTCTCAAGTACACTTATGATATCCGTGTTTCCTTATCTCGTAATGCTAATGAATCTCTAAAAAAAATTGGATCCGGATCTCTGCCAAAATTTAATGGCATCAAAATTGAGCAAAGGCACACACCTCTGGTAAAAAATCATAAAAACCTGTTCATAATCTTTTGAGTTATCCTGCTAACCAGCTAACCAATAAACTAATAAACTAATCAATGCCATTAAAAAATAACTTCCTTGGTGGATATAGTTATACATTCATAGTGTAGCCATAGTATATTTCTCTTTAGTTACCCATCTTTCATCAATAAGTATGTTTCGTTTTCTCCAATTTTGATTTAAGAGAAAACTTTTCCTTAACCTTTTAAAGGGAGACACATAAGAAAACGAACATATTTTCGTAAATTGCAAAATAAGTTGATATCATAATTGTTTAGAAATAATAATACATTCCATATACTATGAATGTGTACTAACCTATCCTAACCGTATGTATATGCCTATAAAAGCCTTTATAAGTACAGGTCTGAATACTTATAGAAATTGATATTGATGAACTGAAAGGTGAATGTGGTAAAAGTAATGATAATAAAATGGTAAAGAGGATTTATAATATTTTAAAAATTTCTTCAAGCATGCATATATATCAGTACCAATCCACCCATATGTGTATATATGCACATACATAAACACACACACGCATACACTCGTGCGCGCTCTCACACGCAAACACACACATATATAGAAAGACAGATAGAGAGATAAGAAAGGATCTTCGCCCTGCCTACCAAGCTTGAAAAAGCTGAACTCCAAGCCCTTTTCACAGACAACCGCAGTCCGCTCAGTGGATGGACGGATCATTTCAGATCATGTTTAAAGGTCGGGAACATGGCTAGCTGCTTTTCCGTAGCAGCATTTTTGTCGTTTTTGTAAGCATTAGATGTGATTACAGTTACAGTGCCTAGGGTCAGTGACTGATGACTATAGGATTCCCTGTGTTACTTTCTTGTTTATTGCACTACATAAAACAGTATATAATGAATACATTATTAAGCCAGTAATGGAACAGCATTCAACAACGTAAAATGCACCAGTATCTCTTTATAGAACATTTTTCAGATGTATAATTAAAAAAAATGCAACATTGGACCTGTAAACTTGATTTGTCTAAAATGTATACGACTATTCATAGTGAGTGTGTTGCAGGGTTGAAGATTAAAGTTACTCTATGGGACTGTGGCTCTGCCTTTGGTGATACCCAACTGGTAGACCCAGCTGAAGTGACGTCAGGTGAAATTTCTGCCTCGATGACTTTCGGTCTGCCGCATCTTCTCAGTTCATACCAAGATGGTCTAAGGATTTTTTGTTTGATTTATTTGAACGAGGGTAAATATTTCATTATTGCTTTAAATACTTTCCATATTCATCAGGCCATGAGTAATAATAATAAAAAAATAACCAAAAGCATTCTACGGTAAAAAAAATCATAGTTACGTCACCATCCATCGGTCTTCTTTTGTTTCCGTTTAGCAGACGAACTTTCGTAGAACTACAGCTGGTCTACTGGGCTGATTATTGTCAAAGACAATAACATTATTTATCCTAGGGAGGGTGGTGTGTGGAATCCTAAATGAGAAATTTCTCTCAGGACACATACTCCGATATGGCAAATACCCGCACAAAGGTAAAAAAAAAAAAAAAAAAAAAAAAAAAAAAAAAAAAAAAACGAAAATATCACCCTCAAAAAGGATGAAATAAATCTACTAAAAGGATTAGACAAGACCAAAGCAGGACCAGATGAGATTTCTTACTCTTTCTTACGTTCTTTCTAGCTCTCTTACTATGTACTTTTTTGTTAACATTCCAAAATTCAGTGGGACAAGGTAAATTACCAAAAAGTTGGAAACTCGCCAATGTTACACCTTTATATAAGAGCGGCGACAAACAAAACCCTCTAAATTACAAACCATTTTCGTTAACTAGTGTGGTATGGAAGCTGTTAGAAAGGAAAATTAGAAAACCGGTTGAAGTACTGGAAAAAACAAAAATAAAAATTATATCAAACAACTTTGGTTTTAGAAAATGAAGGTCATGTGTAACAAATGTCTCCTCTGTTTTTATGACAGTGTCTGAAATATTACAAGAGACAGCTGAGTGGATTCTGTGTACTTGGACTTTAAAAAGGTTTTTATAAGGTGTCTCATAGAAGACTACTATGGAAATTAGAGCACCTGGATGGAGTGAAAGGCAGCCTCCTCGCATGGATGAAAGACTTTCTTCGTGAAAGACAGATGAGCACAGTAAATAGAGGGAAACATTCTACATGGCGACGAGTAACCAGCGGAGTGCCTCAAGGGTCGATCTTGGCGCCGATTATGTTTACTATTTTCGTCAATGATTTGGAGTCAAACATAAACCCAGGTTATCTGAATATATTTGCAGACGACGCGAAGATACAAAAAAGGATAACAGATAACGTCTCATGCCAATGCCTCCAAAGTGACATCGAAAACTTATTCACGTGGAGTTGTAATTGGAAAATGGAATTCAATACCAATAAATTCCACGTAGTCAGGTTCGGAGAAAGTAGAAATCGCCCACTATTCCAATGTAAATTAGGAGACGCAATGTTAAACAGTTGACAGGGAAAAAGTTCTCATAAACAGAAACCTAAGCCCAAATGATCGTATAAACGAAAAGACTCACAAAATGCTAGGACTGACTGTCAATATGAAGAGGGCATTCGTGTATGTGGACAAAGATGTAGTATAGAAGATTATTGCAACAACCATAAGACCTAGTCTTGAGTACGGTGCTGTGGTATGGATTCCACGTAAAAAAGGGATATAGACAAACTGGTAGGAGTTCAAAGAGTGGCCACAAGATGGGCACCAACTTTAACAGATATGAGTTACGAAGATAGACTACAGAAATTAGGACCCTACTTTGGAAGAAAGAAAGAATAAGGGGGACATGGTTATGCTGTTCAACTGTATCACACACACACAATATATATATATATATATATATATATATATATATATATATATATATATACATATATATATATATGTATATATATGTATATATATATATATATATATGTATATATATATGTATATATATATATATATATATATATATATATAGTGTGTGTGTGTGTGTGTGTGTGTGTGTGTGTGTGTGTGTGTGTGTGTGTGTGTGCGTGTGTGTGTGTGTGTGTATGTGTGGTGTGTGTAATATATGTATATATATATGTATATATATACATATATTATATATGTATATATATATATGTGCGTGTGTGTGTCCGTGTGCGTGTGTGCGTGTGTGTACACACACACACACACACACACACACACACACACACACACACACACACACACACACACACATATTATATATATATATATATATATATATATATATATATATATATATATATGTATATATATATGCATAGTATATATATGCATAGTATATTATATTATATATATATATATATATATATATATATATATATATATTATATATATATATATACATACACACCACGTGTGTATATCTGCATCACCTGATTCTTGCACACCACGCGAGCAGTATCAAACAGCTCCCCATATCCTTGCCGAAGAGCCATGTAAAAAAACCGCCGCAGAACGTTCTATTGTTTACACTCGGTGTCTCTTCAATGTGATGGTCATTTCTCGTCCTTCTCACCATGATTGCTTGTAAAACAGGTAAATACGTGGCGGTTAATGACTGTTGATCATGTCAACAGAAGCGTTAGGGTATATGGACGTGTGTGTTGATCTTGGGGAATGTTATATAATGTCCTGACAGATGTGTTTGAATACTTTCGCTTGTAAAATGTGAATGATCTTTTCGTGGTAAAACGTCTAGGTATTTTCAGTTGTAATTTGTTATAATCATCATTACTATCAGTATTAAACTTTTATCTATTATTTATACATATATCTGTTTACATTTAGATAAAAAAGTGTACGTAATAGTGATGGACATTCAATCTAATATGGGAAATTTATAAACATGTGCATAGGCCTACAACTTAATGTATTACATTTTTTCGCTTTATATGATTACTTTAAACGGATTTGTTGAAATAGTATAGTTGGAGATAATGTTGAGAATGATTACTATTATTTAATTTTCAACACAGTTAAAATAGGTATGACAACGGTGATAATTATGGGAATTTGCAATAATCATGATAATCATGTCAATAAAAATTCATCAGGATTTTTTTCATTTAGTTATGCTCCTATTTAAACACAGGAAAAAAGCATGTTGCCCTTTTTTCTTCCAAAAAGTTCTCATAATATCAAATAAACTAGTCTAAGTTTGAATAGAGTGGTTCATGTTTTGTTTGTAGCTATATCTAGAACATTATGATAATTACGAGTCATGTTATTGATTTAGCAAGGGATCTAATCTAAATGTCATATTCATATACCTGCTTACGATACAAAATACACTACATTCACTTTTTTCCTTTTTATAACTAATAAATCAATTTGACAAAATGAGTAACGAGTAAGAATTGTAAATGCAAAGATAATCTAATGAAAAAAACGGCAAATTATTTTGGGTGTTATAATGCCCGAAATATATGTTATTAATGATCATCCTTACCAT